GCGCCTGTTGACCGCCGCTTGTGCGCGATTAGTCATCAAACTGTCAATCAAATAAAATCACTTTTGACGGAATGTTTGTAGATTTTTAATAAAACCAATACGTAGAAAAAATTCCACGCGGACCAGGCAGCAGACGGGACTCGAACCCGCACCCTTCGCAATCCGGGCGAATGCACTGACCAATTATGCTACCGCGGCCCTCATGAACGGCGTCGAAATTCCTCTAGCCATTCTTAATATAACATTGTGTATTACCTATAATGCGAAGAGATGGCGCTGCCTTGCTGCTTAAGAATCGCTAGAGGAATTTCGACGCTGTCCGTGAGGGCCGCAGTAGCATAATTGGTCAGTGCATTCGCCCGGATTGCGAAGGGTGCGGGTTCGAGTCCCGTCTGCTGCCTGGTCCGCGTGGAATTTTTTCTATGATGACTAATCGCGCACAAGCGGCGGTCAACAGGCGCGGCGCTGGACGCCACCCTTCGGCAGTATATTCAGTCTAGCTCCTAATCCACTTTCACGCCCATTATAAAAGTTGGCACCAATGTTCTATACAATATTAGCAATTTATATAAAAAAAAATTAAAAAAAACTAAATGGTCTAACTTGGTGAAAATCAAGGAAAAAAACTTAAATTGGTTTTTTTTACGAAAAAAAAAATTTTTTTTCTATTCCAAAAACACAGTTAAAAAGCCCAGTAAATAAAGTAGGAAATCCAGTGGTTTAGTTATTTTAATATATAATTTTATGAGTCCATAATCGGCTTTGAAGTACTGCATGCCAACCGGTTGTCGAAAACTTCAAAGTAACATTACTCTTTAACTAGTCAATATATCACACAAATATTTGGTACACGTATCAATAATAAGTACACACATCAAAAGTGTCTAGGGATCAAGCATTTTTATGCGGATTTCTTGAGATTGAGATGTGGCTTTGTAATAAATTTATGATTTTATAAATTTATATGGATCCTTTTTGGTGCATTTCATAATTTGAATCAGGAACTGTGAATCAAATTCGAGTAAAAGATGAAAATCAGCTGTCAATATTTTCCCTATAAAAACATACAACGCATTGAAGACATTATTAGTGCTACTGTTTCCCTACTACTGATTAAAACCAACGTTATTATGGAGCGGCGACGTCATTTAAGCAGGGAAGAAATGCTCAGAGCCGTGGGAATGATAGAAGCTGGTTCCCGGCAACGTACTGTGGCTTTAGCTCTGAATACAAGTCAGAGTGTTATCAGTCGACTTTGGACACAATACCGAAGCACTGGTACCGTGGCTGAGCGCCATGGAGGACGGTATCGCTGCACCACACGGAGACAAGACCGATACATTCAAATCTTAACTCGAAGAGCTCCAACAATAATCGCCATGATGTTAGCCGTGAGGCTTCATCACTCTTCAGGGAACTTAATTAGCGACCAAACAGTCAGAAACCGCTTGCATGAAGTGAACCTTCATTCCCGAAGACCGCTACGGGTACCACCTATAGCAATGCACAATCGTAGGATTCGATATCAATGGGCTCTTGAACACAGAAATTGGGCAGAAGAACAATGGCGTTTCGTGTGCTTTTCTGATGAGTCTCGTTTTGGTATGAGACCGGATACAAGACGTATACGACACTGGAGAACCCCTGGACGCCAACAGCGATTAAAATCCTGCCAGGAAGTCCATCCTTATAGTGGTGGAACCATCATGGTATGGGCGGGTATTTGGATCGGCGGAAGAACTGAGTTGATTTGGATCAGAGGCAACCTCAACGCTCAAATTTATGCTGAGACGATTGTATCAGACGTCATCGTTCCTCTACAAGTGCAAATCGGTCCCTTATTTCAGTTAATGCATGATAATGCACGACCGCACACCGCAAGAGTTGTAAGACAGACTCTCGCCGCAGCTAACATCAATGTCCTGCCCTGGCCTGCTCAGTCGCCAGACTTGAACCCGATTGAGCATGCATGGGATATGCTACAGAGAAGAGCTCTGCCGAATATGGAGGGTATCCAGTCGCAAGAAGACCTTTTTTTGTTGTTGCAACGAACATGGGCGGCCATTCCACAGCGTGATTTGGATGAACTCATTTTGAGTATGCCAAACCGATGTTCTTGTGTTGTTAGTGTTCGCGGTAGAAATACGGATTATTAATTGTTTAAGTTACCCAATAAAATTTTAGAGAAAACTGTTATTTCAGTCTTTTTTTCGAACTTTTGTGTTAGTGGTTCAAATGTCAAAAATCCCTTTATTAGGAAAATGGCAAATTTCTTTATTAATGCAAAGGTGACTTGGTTTATCGTTACTGTGACAAACGAAAACACTTTATTTGATGAATCCTTAAAGCAAATTTTAATTAATATCAATCAGGAGAAAAGTTATTGCAAAAATATATGTTGATCCCTAGACACTTTTGATGTGTGTATAAGTACAACATACTCAAATATTACTGAAATCGGAAACATCGAGTTTTTTTACCTGTACGCTTCGCGTGGAATGCCCCATATATCAGGGCTCAATCCTTGGTCCTTTCTTATTTTTAATTTATATTAATGACTTACCTTACTACGTTAGAGATAAGCATGAGATAGTATTGTTCGCGGATGATACATCACTTTTATTTAAACTCAAACGTAAGGAAACAGTTATTGACGACGTGAACAGTTGTATCTCTAAGGTAGTCCACTGGTTTAATGTTAATAATTTATTACTAAATGAAGGAAAAACGAAATGTATTAAATTTGTATTACCTAATGTAAAACAGGTAAAAACCAGTGTGAATGTAAAGGATAGGAATATGGGCCTTGTAGACACCACAGTATTCTTAGGGATTACTTTAGATTCTAAGCTTCAATGGGGCCCACATATTGATAAATTGTCAAATAGACTTAGTTCTGCAGCATATGCCGTAATGAAGATACACCAGTTAACGGATGTAGATACGGCCAGATTAGTATACTTTAGTTATTTCCATAGTGTAATGTCGTACGGAATTTTATTGTGGGGAAACGCCGCCGACATTCAAACTATTTTTGTGCTGCAGAAGAGAGCTATTCGATCAATTTATAATCTTAAAGTTAAGGATTCCTTAAGAGATAGGTTTAAAGAATTTGGTATAATGACGGTCGCATCACAATACATTTACGAAAATTTATTACTTGTAAGAAAAAATATTAATTTGTTTCTTAAAAACAGTGATGTTCACACACTTAATACAAGAAACAAAAACAAACTAACTTTACCTGCTACTAGGCTTCACAAAATCAATAATTCATTTAAAGGTCTTTGTGTTCGCTTATACAATAAAGTCCCAAGCAATATCCAAGAGTTAAGCATAAATAAATTCAAAGATAGTATAAAAAAAGCACTTATTAAAAAAGCTTATTACAAAGTGTCTGATTATATTACAGACAAAAATGCTTGGGTTTGAACTGTTCCAATCATTTCAACAGGTTTTCTATATTAAATAAATCATGATTGTATTGACGTTGTAACAACATAATGATTTGTAAATGTTGTTACATTATGCTTTTAATGTTGTGGAGTTTTTTTCGCTCGTTTTTCTCCGCAGCTAAAAAATATGTCCAATAACGAGTGGTAGGGAAAAAAAAAATGTTTGGACGATTCAAAAGTGTCCAATTTGAATAAAGATATATTGATTTCTGATTTCTGATTTGATATGTTATTAAAGGAAGCCAATTTTTCAGATTCAGGAATAATAGCTAAGCTACAACATTTATCTTTAAAAAATATCTACTGTTGTCATCTTTAACCATGTAGTGACATCTTATAGTCCAGTCAAATTACGGAATCAAATAAACATGAGCGAACACAGTTTGGGGATTTTGAGGATCGTTAGGGGGGTGCATCCTGAGCTTAAGTTCCAATTTGAGGGGCTGTACTGAGGTCAGCTCAAGGTCATTTCGATGCAAACGCGTTTAATTTGATATCTCGAGAAATATCAGTGTCAGCCAAAAAATTATAGAGACCTTTTTTCTTTTAAATGAAATTTATTAACTTTTTTATTTAAAACTTTTTTTTGTAACATCAATATTTTTTAAGTTATTACTCCCGCAAGGCAAAAATTTCATTTTTTTCCCTATTTTTCGTCGTTTTCTCTCCAAACATTCAATTTTATTGAATTTTACCGATCATCAACGTGTATATCTTTTAATTATGCACAATTTTGTTCTTAAACTTTTTTCTGTAACTTCAATACCTTCGGAGTTATATATTATTTTACCGAGCGAAATCCACGCCACTGTCGCAATATAAAAGGGTAAATCGATTAAACTATTTAAAAATTGGGTATTTAATTTGGGTAAATTTATGGGTTTGTTTGGGTAACAAGTAAATTAACAATTAAAACTGTTTCACACATTTATTGATACAAAAAATAGGTTATAAAATTCGGAAAATTAAGCACCCGAGGTCCAATAACTCCGAAAGTATTGAAGTTACAGAAAAAAGTTTAAGAACAAAATTGTGCATAACAACGTAGATGATCGGTAAAATTCAATAAAATTGAATGTTTGGGGAGAAAACGACGAAAAATAGGGAAAAAAATGAAATTTTTGCCTTGCGGGAGTAATAACTTAAAAAATATTGATGTTACAAAAAAAAGTTTTAAATAAAAAAGTTAATAAATTTCATTTAGAAGAAAAAAGGTCTCTATAATTTTTTGGCTAACACTGATATTTCTCGAGATATCGAATTAAACGCGTTTGCATCGAAATGACCTTGAGCTGACCTCAGTACAGCCCCTCAAATTGGAACTTAAGCTCAGGATGCACCCCCCTATCGATCCTCAAAATCCCCAAACTGTGCTCGCTCATGTTTTTTTAGCCCTTTTTTTCCGTAATTTGACTGGACTATTAGTTCCGTGGTTGTCGAATAACACTAAAAAGGATATTTACTCCTACAGTAACCTCTCCAGTTTGGTCTTCTATTGAAATGAACATAATGAAATGTCAAATAAATTGACGTACTGCCAACGCCAAGAAATGGTGAACACATAGTCATCACGGTCAACAATAGATTTTCACGTACGACTAACGATTTCTTGCAAATATGAAAAAATCTAAGGTATGTATTGTAATGGCTTATGTGGGGATATTATGATGATATTTTAAAATTTTCACTTTCTTAATGACCACTTCTATCTTAAAATAAAAAATACGGTTATAAAGTTCGTTTTTCTAAAATGATTTTATTTTAAAACGTCGGTGGCGGGTTTTAACGTTTCAGCCCCTTCAAAGCCTTATATAATTAAGAAATGTGCGTGGAAGCGAATATTGTATAAAAACATAAGCTTATGTTTTTTATAACAAAGTACCATCATTTAGATCGAAAATATGTTTAAGTCGCGTACTGATTGACTTACCTAAATGTTTTACCTGAGCGCACGGACCTGAAAAAAAGACGGACGTAATATCAAAGGCAAATCATGTGAAGCATGACAATGACATGTAGGTCAGACAAAATCGTGTGTTGTACACTACCTACACTCACACTAATGCACCAGGTCGGACAATCCGCTGCCATTTGAACTCGCGTGACAGCGCCAGTCACACGTTCAATTGCTCCGATATATTTTTAAAAAAATGCCGTCTTGTGTGGTGAAATCTTTTAAAACTACACGAGTAAATTTGAAAAGTCACAAGGAATCACCTACTATGCTTAAGTATTGACGATTCTTGATATTTTTTTTATATTATATTTTATTTACAAGGATGAAAATTGTAAACAAAAATACAACTGTGTGGCTACTTTATTTACGGGAAATTTTCCCTAAAAGTAGGGAAAATTGTATTTCTTGCATATGTGACTAGGCAAGATAAGATTTCGTAAATTTTTAGGGTTCCGTATCCCAAAAGGAAAAGAAAAGAAGCCCTATTATTCATAGAATATTTTATATAAATTATAGTCTTGTCTTCTAATAGGTTTCCTAGAAATAGAAACCGTAGAGATGACTGGGTTTTAATATTTCGATACTGCAAAGGGGATAACAATTAGGGACCCATCACCTTCCAGTACTGTGTGCAGTGCACACGTTGTTTGGTTTTCGTTCAAACCGGAGCCTGTAAAGAAGAAATATTAAAAACTAGCGGTCCGTCCTCGCTTCGCTGCGGTGTAGAGCTGAATTGTTGTATTATACACAATGACATTCATCTATGATTTTTCTTATACCTGCATGCAAAGTCTCAGCCCGATCGGTTTAAAATTGACAAAGTTCCATACAAACTTTCATTCCCTATTTTATCCCCTTGGGGGTAGGATTGATAAAATCCTTTCTTAGCGGATGCCTACGTCATAACATCTACCTGCATGCCAAATTTCAGCCCGATCTGTCCAGTGGTTTGGGCTGTGCGTTGATAGATCACTATGTCAGTCAGTCAGTCACCTTTGAGTTTTATATATATAGATACAGTTGAAACCCGTTAACAGAACTACTATACAAATAAACTTTTGAAACTAAATTACGATAACCAAAATTATTACAAAATGAATTACAGGCAGGACTTGAACCTGCATTTTCTGCTGTCTGGGTGGATGCACTAATTGCTATGCTACCGAGAACTTAATGATCGTGACTAATTTCTTCTTGTATTTCTTAGGCTGCACGGTAGTGCCATTTCTTCGCATTGTAGGTAAACCACGATGTCAAATGAAACCATAGATATAGGATGTAAAGATAGACAGAGTACCTATCGCTACTGTTCCAAAAATATATCTATTAAAGTGTCGAGTTAGTTTCACAGAATTTCATAATAAATTTTATCTCAGTACGACTTGACAGGGCGCTGCGGCTCTTGCTAAAAATATATTATTAGACGAAAGGTACATCATGTTGCGTCTCTTTCTACGTTATAGGATTGGCATGATATCTCTTTTCCTCACTCTGTCAGTCTTTAAATACCTACTCAATCTATGAATGAAATACTTACATTTGAAAGAAGAAATAGCAATATTAGTCTATTATATTTTTATTTTAAGCATTAATCTGCGCGATTTATGTATATTAATGTATGTTATTAACCTCATACATAATATTAAGACACTAACATTTATATGTAAACAATAAAGTTTCTTTTTACATAACAAGTGCTTTCTTTTCTATCTCGGTGTTCCTAAAAATAATTTGATAGACCGTTTAAATTGCTGAAAAATCAGGAGCTCACAACGAGTAAAACACGTGGTAAATATCCCGTTTTTATAATATATATTTGATTACATAATGTTAACAATGTTTTAGTTTGGGAGATTTAAAAAGTAGGGAAATTGATGATTTACCCGACAACCCTGAAATCACGCACACGCTGTAAGCGGGCGGCCATTTGCATGCTTCACTCGAGATAAGACGAGGTTACGTCCGTCTTTTTTTCAGGTCCGTGCCTGAGCGCAATAAGTACATTTCGGCTAGTTGTATCAAAAACGGAGCCGTTTGTATTGTGATGGTTGGAAGATAAGCCGAACTGCATCATGCCGTTAAATAAAAACTGCATTTCATAGAATATTTTACGTATTTCAACAGTGCAATATAATTTAGCATTTTTTAGCAGTTTGTAATACCAATTTTTGGCCTACTCGTGGACCTGACGCTGCCTGCCGCAAAAACAACATACTAAATATAAACATCACCTAGTGTTTATTATATAAGATGGTACCCTTACAAAGTACTATTTTCCCGAATTATTAGTTTTCAATGAAACATTGTTCAGGTCACCCTCTAAGTTGTGATTCAAAAGTGAATTTACAATCCGACTGATAGACTTCTCGGCGTAATACAAACGGCTCCGTTTTTCTATAGAACTGGTCAGTAATACGGCGAAATATATCTAGGACGTTATGTATAATTATTTTCAGAGTCGGTCTCAAGCTTCATTATCAGTTTCTAAATCTAATGTGCAACTACCGGAAGAGGTTTATGTACCACCTTTAGACGTCCTACGTGTTAAAGTGTTGAATTTGCAAATGACGGATGATACTCCCAAACTATACTCCATCAAAGTGGTATTTTTTGATCAACTATTGCTCAATGACATTATCAAATCTGTTGGGACTCGTGAACATGTTATAGAGAAAATGCTAATCCAAGGGAGTATGAATTTTGATCCCTCTGACTATGAAAAAATGTCCCTTATGGCTGATTGTCCTTTAGTTGGTAAGTGAAAGTTAGATGATTAAAGTTTGCAATAAAGGATCATGCTATGGAAACAATAATGTTTATCTGTAAGTGTTGATTAAGATTTTAATTTTCTCATAGTATCATCATCAACATAGCCTGAAAGCCTACTTAGTTGTTAAAAAATGACAAATATTACTCGAGTTGTGGTACCGGTAATAAAATAAAATATCCTTATCAAAGTGATATTTCGTTATAAGTGGGTATATTTGTCCCAACACCGCATTTACCGATATTTGGATCTAAAATGTTTCTTGATTGTCTTTAGTCGAGATGAAATTTTGTAGGTGTTTATGAGCCTGTACCTCAAGAGGTTTCAGGGGAATTTTAACTATAGATAGATTTAAAACTGCTAGTGTTTAACATTAATAATAATAATTTATTACAGTTAACACACAACCTCTGAGTAGTGTACCAAGTGTAAATAACTCTGACATGGCTTCTCCGCCTTCATATGAAATAAACAAATCTAGGTCCTCAACGAAACCAATTCCGGGCATCAGTTGTTGCAATGTGGATATTCTTCCGCTATTCATAGGTAAAATTCGTAGTACATCTTTCTAGTAATATTCTAAAGAATACGCCGAATGTAGAAGGCTGTGCCAGCTATCGTCACTTAACATTGATGGGATGGAGTCAATTGTAGAAACTTTTATAAAAAAAAAGATAACCAGATAACGTTCACTTATGTCTAAAACGTGAAGGATTCCCAAGTTTATGAATGAAAATCATGGTTAAAGTAAAATTTTGAGTTAACCAATGTCAATATCGCTTCATGAAATACATGCATAGGTAAGTATTTAATTTTAGTTTATGCTATTTTTATTTAGAGTTTGTGGTTTTCAGATAAAGATAAAATTAAGGTTAAAAAGCGATTGGAACCGATGATTAAGCCTCCATTACTTCAACGACAGAGCTGGGACAACCTTCCCTTATTAACGATGGAACTATCCGTGATTCGCAATGAGTTGAATGCGGAACATCACATATTTCTGAAACAAGCAAACTATATGAATATTACTCTACTGGGTGCTTATAATATGCCCATTAACATAAATAATGACGAATATATTTGCACAGCAGCAACGAAGACGACACTATACAATGAAACGGTAGAATTTGATATTTTCACTTCTAATGTTTCTTTCGTGCGATAATTATAACTAATTTTACATCTTTTTCTAGAATACAGGGCTCGTTACATTTAATAATGTAGAAAGACTGGCAAAGAAATTTGACGCTCTCAATTTCTATCCAAAATGGGAGTATTTAAATACTGGTGATAATTTATTTACTAAAGGAGATGAAAAATTCGTTTGCGACTTAAATCAAATTCAAAATGAAGAGAATATAGACCTAGCATATTATATGTCTAAGAACAGCAGTAAGTTATTTTATGGTTCTATCACGAATGCTTTTCGCAGATATATCATTAAAAACCCTACCACAAAGCGTGCAATAAGTGAGAAAACTATAGACGTACCTACATCCAAAGAGTACCGAGTTTCCTAGTAAAAAAACAATTTTACATTCAGGTGCAATAATATGGGGGTCATTTCATCGTACTCTGCTACTACCACACGGCGAGAAATGGCTGACTGAACACCTGCGTCGGTACTGCTGGCCATTCGAGGTCCACCTCTACGGGGAGCAAGGCGGCCTTAGCTTCATGGCGTTTTTGCAGTTATTCCGCTTGTTATACCCAGGAGGTATGATCATATACAGGGCATCTCACGGCTACCTCACACGGAGGGAATAGTAGATTGTTAACTGAGGGTGGAAAGAATCAATTCCCGAGGTATTTAGACGCCCGAGCGCAGCGAGGGCGGCTATAGTCCGAGTAGGAATTGATTCTTTTACCCGAGTTAAACACTGTACTTTTCATTTCGAATATGAGGAAAATAAAACTAGTTGTTTAACAAAAATATTTATTCATAAATAGTTATATATATACCATAAAATTAGAAGTAGCTATTTAAAATACAAATTTGGCTGTTTTGGATATCTGTAAAAGTAGGACACTCTGTTATTTCATCAAACGATGGATTCCATGGCGGATACTCCCTGGAAGTTGTCTGCTGAGGCGAATTGTAGGAGCCTGTAGTTTGCTAGACAGTCCATTAAAATATGTAAGAAATACACTTTCGGAAAACGATTTTATATTCTTCTCTGCTCACCACTTTATAAAATCATTGTATGTATTTATATATCTCTTTTTTAACATTTCTGGCAAAATATTCTCTATAACACAATTTGCCTCGTCTTTAATTGAATCCGGTGTCAACATTTCTGAATCGCTTGAACTCATTTTTAATATTCAAAGTTGGATTGCTCTGTTTTACTTAAAAGATTATTTTTTTATTCCATCACATAACAGATGCATAACATTTTAGTATCCCGCCAATATATGTCAACTTTTTAAATTTAAATATGGAACAGCGTAATTGTTGCGGCTTATTCCGCTCAACGAAGTTTGTGCTAAGTTCACACTGGCTGTTTAGAAACTCACATGGCTCCATATTTTTTTTACAAAAAACTTCACGCCTGACAGTAGATCTATTTTTAAAGTTCATTCCGGCCCTTAGGCGGGAAGTAATTTGTATGAGTTTTTCCCTCTCTAGAGAGGGAAGCAGCATTTTCCACCCAACAAACAGATCAAAACAACACCACTTTCCGAGAATGAGAAATGAAAAGTATATTAAATATTGAAGATAGGATATTTTACTGAAAGAAGACATCATTTTATTTTTAATAATAAATAGGACTGCATTCACAGAATTTTTTTAAAAAAAAATAAAGCACAACATATTTTATGATAACCATCGAAAGGGTTAATCCTAAGGACTGTTTTTTGCTAAATAACATAGCATTTTAAATGAAAGGAATGTCTTATTACGTGATAAAAATAATAAAATGATATACAAACTGTAGTACCTCCGTACGCATTTCTTTTTGCACTCACAGTTATAATGCAATTGGCTGAAATTTATAAAAATAATAATTCGAAAATGGAACACATAAATTTTCAAGCGTCTGTTGTGAGTTTCGTTTATTTGCAATTTTTTTGTTAATTTACTTACCATGGCGTATCAAAATAAAATGGATTTAATGGAAGCTTACTTTATGAACGACAAGACAAAGGTGGTACCGCGAAAGATATCCTGAAAGAGACGTACCTTCTCGATATGTGTTTAAATGTTAGAAGTAGTGTCCGACCGAAATTTCGGTTTCGGTTTCGGTTTCGGCCAGTTTCGGCCAAAAAATCAAGTTTCGGCCCGAGTTTCGGTTTCGGCCAAAAACGGCCGAACCTTTCGGCCGCGCCGAAACTTACAACATCGTACCTTCGGGTCGCGCTCGGCTAACGTCGGGCGCGCTCGGCACGGCTGGCAATATGGCGTCGCTCGCCTGACTCCGCCGATAACTACCTAAATCAGTTCGCTTTGCTCGTGTAGACGTTATATTATTTTTAATTAGATAATTAGTTATAAAAAATAAAAAGTATAAGTATAGATTTGTTACTATAAAAGGTTCGCTAAAATGATTACCAAAGGTGATCAATTTGATTATTTTGATTATCTAAATAGGTATATTTGAATTAGCCATTCGAGGCTAACTGATTGTGATATTTGTGAGTATAATTAAAATGTAAGTAACTGAAAATAAATAAACATATATGAGCATCATATTTTAATAATAAAGGAGATTGTTCAAATTAGCCCAAATGTACAAACAATATTGTTTTACAGTCATTAGATTTTAACGGACACTTTTGTACAATATATTCATTTTAAAAAGGACTTTTAATTTTACCGGTTTGGAAAACATACGAATAATTTTTAATGGCTATGGGTGTAGTAACATTCAGCCAAAGACAGATCGAAGTTGTTTATATAACATCAAAACAAATATATTTTGTAAAGATGGATAAAATATTTTTTTTTTTACACTGTGGTATTAATATCCACAATTATATTATCATTTTCTCTACATGAAAATGTGCTAAGACAATTATTATAGATGGTAGGCGACATCATAAAGTCTATTGCCATACATTTTTGCCAAACACCTCCATAAACACATTATAAGGTGTGATACACCAAAAATCTAAAATATGGTTATAATATAAACATAACAAAAATAATGACGCAACTGAAGATGTAGCTGTAACCTAAATCTCTTAGCTTTCTTTGGTTAACGAGAGTTTAAAAATTCTCTCTAATCTGTGGCTCATTCACAATCATCACACAGTTTCTGTCACAGAGTTATTATAACCGGATATGCATAGATGATACCTGATTTTAAAAGTAACTCTTGTGCATTAACTAAAAACAGGCAACTATCTTTTAATCTACATGCTTTATGTACCTGAATCTAATACATAATTTCTGTACTTGGCTTGATTTCCCTAGCTTACTATATAACTTATTTGTTTTTTATTATTTTAATACTTAAGTACCTATTTGCAAACATAACCTCAAAATCATTCAGTGTATATGGTTTGTAGAAGTTCTTATGGGTGTCCGTCAATAATATTCGTTGCTACAGTAATTTATATATAATTTCGAATCTAGGAAACATTTTTTTATGATTATTGGTCTTTAGGCCAAACAAGTATGGAAGCTGAGCCATCTCCTTTGTTTTATTTTATACCACCATTAAAAAATCGCTAACTTTGTGTTACAAGTAATGTATTTTTTTCACTTTATAGGGTAGTTAAATTTTCAAACAGAACCTTTGTAACTGTGCTGTAATTTCATTGTGATAAATCTTTGAAAGTAGAAACCTGTAATTATAGCTCGGCGAGACATTAATTTTACAAAAAAACGGGCTTACTAACATTTTTTCGACTTTTTTTTTATAAAAGGTTCGGTTTCGGTTTCGGTTTCGGTTTCGGCCGAAACTACAATGAAACCGAACCTTCGGTTTCGGTTTCGGTTTCGGCAAAATAACATGTTTCGGTCGGTCACTAGTTAGAAGCCACTTTAAGAAATTTAGGACGTTTTGATATGCTCTTACAGAAACCACAGCAGGGGATGATTATCGTCAACGATGATGAACTCAACATTTTTACTTACTTTGAGTCATATCCGAGGCATTTTATATTAGTTTGTGTTAAATAATTTTAAATGAAATGTTAAATTTAATTACTTTTTTTTTCATATAAAATACTATTTAGTAAATAATAAATCCATATGATTAACCCTTTCGAAGGTAGTCAAAAAATATGTCGTGTTTTTTTTTCGAAATTTCACGAGTTCGATTCCCAGTTGTAGCAGGCGATTTTTAGAAAATCTGTGAATGTAGTTCTAGTTATTATTCAAAATAAAATGATGTCTTCTTAAAGTAAAATATCCTATATTTAATATACTTTCCCTCCGTGTGAGGTAACCGTGGGACGCCCTGTATACATATAGTAAATAAAAGTAAGGCAGAAATGAGAATTATATGTTAAGGTCCGAGTACAACTGTTTACTGAAAGTTGACTGACTGAATGTAGTCTATTCTACATAATTAAATTAACTTGGACAGTTGTCCGTCATACGTTCCTAATGCATCTTGGTTTCTAAGTGCATAAATAATATGAATATGAAATATCCTTAGACTGTCAAATAGTACTTTAATTTGTAAATGCTTTATACGACTTCCAGCTAAATCTCAGCACGATATTTCTAAAACATTTTATTAACTCTACTACCTATGATTGATGTTTTATGTATTTCTTACTTTCTTCTTTCACTTATCCATGTCGATAAATCTTCCAGAACACACAGCGAGAATTGCGGTACCACTACATTGGGTGAACGCAGAGGCAATGCACGATAAGTGTTACTGCGAGTTGCTGATGACGCCTAATACAACACAGTACTTATACAAACTTTGTGTTTATTATTGAACAATTACACTTGGTTGACTGAAATGCTCAGAAATTCAAAACCGTTTCAGCACGTTAGGTCTTATTACCGAATATTCAGTCGATTCATTAGGTCTATTTCCATAAACGTCCAGTTCCCTGACGGTCTTTTTCCCTGCACGTCCTAAATAGACCTAAGAAAAAACACAGAAAGAGGTGGACAATCCGGTAATAGTACAAACGTGCCGAAACGTACAAAACTGTTCGCTCACATTCATGATTGAGTTTATTTATTTTTTTATATAGCCAGGTAGGCAAATGACTCTACCCCACCTGATGTTACATGGTGATAAAGTCCAAACGCGAAAATAGCTGGTACAGCAGCTATAAACTGCTAAACCAAGAATCCCCACCTTACCGGCCTGCAAAATGCTTCTTCACGACTCTCTTAAATTACCCCAGATTGTAGAAAGGAGGGAACACGTGCGCAGGAAAAGAATTCCACTTACGAATATTACGACAAAGAAATGAGTTACCAAATTAGGAATGGAGGCCACAGTAAGTAAGTCAGGCCAGCGCACGTGGTCCTCTGAAGAAAAGGTGATGGAGGGATAAGGGAGAATAACTACTCAGAACACGCCGTGGTATAGTCTGTAGATTGCGCTAAATGATGCCACATCGTAATTGTAGAGACTCCAGTTTGTTACCTCGTCATCGCCAATGATGCGGGCAGCCGCTGCAACCTATCCAAGGCATCGAGTGAGTACTTAGCGGAGCCATCCCAGAAGTGCGAACAATATTCCGCGCAGGAACGCACTTGCATTTTGTACAACAAGCACAGTTGATCAGGCGTGAAAAAACGCCGCACCTTGTTTAGGACTCCGAGTTTGCGTGAAGATGTTTTGATTAAGGTTTCGATGTAGTCCTTTGGATTCATGTCTGAGCGAACTTCCATAAAGAGCATGGCGATGTTGCTCTGTAGCGGCAGTGTTGTGCCATAAAGAGAGGGAAGGGGCAGGAATGGCGATGTTTTTAACACTATTTTAGAACATGAGCTTCTGTAACAGCGATAGTATTATATATGTGGGACACTCAGAAAGTTTTGAGAAACTAAAATAATAACTACTATTAAAAAATATATATATTAAATCTTTATGTTTTTATTTATTTTTTAAGCATTTAACTGCTAGATGTTTAAATCTAAAGAAAAGTTTACTAGAAAAAAATCCACGCGGACCAGGCAGCGGCAGGATATTAAATCTTTCCAAAGAACTCTCCATCAGCCTCTATACAAAGTTTCATGCGTCTGAAATTTTCAAAACATTTTTTCCAGCAGACACCTCTTCCACGGCCTCCTGAAACGCTGCTAGCGCTTCTACCGGCGATAAAAACTGTATCCCTTTGTACTGATTTTTTATTTTACGGAATAAAAAGAAGTCACACGGATCAAATCAGGACTGTAAGGAGGGTGTCCCAAGACTCTCACTGGTGTGGAGTCCAGGAAGTCCTTCGTTTTGATCGCAAAGTGCACGGGCGCGTTGTCGTGTTGAAGAAGGACCCCGCGGAGCCCGGTGTTAGGTCGCTTGTTGCTTATTTCAGAAAAAAACTTCTGGCAGGCATTTTATGCTATACCATTCGGCGTTGATGCTGCTTTGGTCTCGAAGTGGAATTGAAATTAGGTTCCCCGTCAAAGTGAAGAAACCAGCGATCAAAATTTTCCCTGCGCTCCTCGATCGCTTCACTTTAGTACGTAGGCGTTGGTTCATTTTGAAACAGCCAAACTGTCGACTGACGCTTTGTTTCTGGATCGTATTGATAAATCCAGGATTCGTCATCTGTCACAATATCGTAAATGCGCCGTGACGAGCCTGCATCAAATTTTTGTATCATATCATTGCACCAATCCACAAGGGTCTGCTTCTGAGCTTCGGTGAGGTTGTGCGGCACCCAGCGGGAAACTATCCTCCTTATGCAAAGGTGCTCGTGCAAAATCTTGTGAACACTTCCTGAACCAATCTGCAGAGTATGCTGAATCTCTTCGTACGTAATTCGTATGTTTTCTTGAACTATTTTTTTTACTGCCAGCACACTTTCTTCGGTGACAGCCGTCATAGGACGTCCACTACTTTGTTCATCCCCCAAAGTAAGACGACCACATTTGAACTCACTACACCAGCGGTAGATGGTTGCTTTTGAAGTTCCTTCATCCATATAAGCAGTTCGAAATCGATCAAATGACTCATCAGGTTTTAAGCCACATTTAAAATCGTAAAAAATCATAGCTCAAAAATGTTCTCCATTTTTTGAGACAAGAAAAGCATAATTGATCAGTGCATTCGCCCGGATTACGAAGGGTGCGGGTTCGAGTCCCGTCTGCTGCCTGGTCCGCGTGGAATTTTTTCTAGTTATATTTTCTTTAGATTTAAACATCAAGCAGTTAAATGCTTTAAAATAATAAAAATTATAACTATAAAATATTTTTTTCGCAAAACTTTCAGAGTGGCCTAGTACTCCGCAATCCGGTCGGAAGGTGCGGGTTTAATATGCAATCTAGCAACCGTTCTACTTTAATTATATAACAAAGCTATTTAATAAACATGTATTATAAATAAAAGATCAAATTGGAATCTAAATAATATGGAGACTGGTACGGTGGTACTGGACGATTCTTTCAGGTTACAGACCAATTCAACTCTGACGAGTTCAACGGAATTGAGTGCTGCAATGCGACCCACAGGAGAAGATGATAACAGTGCCTTTATTGTAGTCGAAGTCAGACTGGCAAGACCATTAAAACAAGCCGTTGTGCCATCCATCATACCGAGGTTAGCAAATTTTCAACAACACAACACTTTCTTACAGAAGAACAGTAAAATAACACTACCTTGTGATGGTATTGTGATTCTGTCTGTGTGTAAAGTTCCAGGGCTTATTAAAGTGCGAGTGATATTTTGGGTATCGCATGCGTCTATAGGCTATGGTGGCTGCTTCCTATCAGGTTTTACGCTTGTTTACCACCCTTTTAACATAAAAATATAATTACGCAATAACCCGGAATTGCTTGAATCTAAATATATAAAAGAAGAAACTGACTGACTGACATATCAATGCACAGCCCAAACCGCTAGATCTAGAGATTCCAAATTTGGAACGTAGGTGCCTTATGAGGTCTAGGGGTGCACTAAGAAAGGGTTTTTCAAAATTCATAAAGGATGAAAGTTTGTATGAATAATCTTATTCCTTGCGTTAATAGACTTGAAACTTGGCACGGATACTTATGTAAATAAATTATAAAGTTTACAAACAAACTAGAGAATTCATTAAAAAAAACTAGCTATGATGACATAGCTTTAGAGGGGTTTGTCAGGAATAACTATGATTTATTAACAGAAAAACAAAAGTCAACATAGAAACAAATAGTAAGAAGTGCGAATGCGAGTGAGAGCTACAATTTTTTTTTAGATGATTCTGGAGGTACCGGCTAAACCTACCTATTGAATTTGATTTTGGGAAAAATAAGGGTCCCACATGATGATGCATTGGCTGTGGCTTCTTCGGGAATTGCCGCAACACTTTTGCTAGGCGGCCGGATCGCACACCTTGCCTCAAAGTTGCCACTGTACCTAACAAGTTTTTAGGTTTTTTTAATTTTTGGACCTAACAACTCCATTGTGATATTATAAAACAGAGCAAAGGATGATGGGCAAATTGTATGAAACTTGGTATCCGTTCCAATAGAGATGTGTTGCATATCATTTGAAAGGTCTACTTGAATACAATAATGTCTACTATGGCGCTTGCCCTGATACGTTGTCGAAACAGAGCTATATAATAAATAATAAAAAAAAGTTTTTTCTTTCTAAATTGTTATACATTTTAGTAGGTATTTACATTATTTTAGCAGTGTTGTAAGTATTAACAATAGGCATTAGGTTAGACCGTTGATATCTATACCATTATACCATACCAGTACCTTCTGACTTAGTAACAATACAACCTCGTGTGAACAATTTAATGTTTATCTTTAACGAGAACGTTAATAAAAGAAAATGGTAAAAAACATAATAAAAAAAACAATAACTAGCTTGTTATCTTGAACGGTAACCATAGGCGTATATAGAGGGGGGGCCGAGTGGGCCGTGCCCACCCCAGGACGGTCTTGTGCCCACCCCAGAATGTTGGACTACCAATTCGAAATTCTATAATACTAATCACTAACTTCAGACGACTCTTCAATGTCAGGGCCCAGCTCCCCCTGAAAAATAACCCTAGACACAAACTTTTTTAACAAAAATAAAAATAACAAAATAGAAAAGTTTTTTTTTGTTTTTATTCATTTAATTTTTTATGTATGCAGTTATCCAGAGGCAGAGTGAAAGAAACACATTTTTGAGTAATTACTTTATTCATTATCTATAAGGATGTCATTTAAGAACAGTGCAGGAACGACGAATCCGGCGTGCCTGGCATAGCTTAGGTACCATATAATTGATATAAGCCAAGTCCATAAGAAAGCCGGAATCAACTATAAAAACAGGTTAAAATAACGATAAAAGATATAAGAAGGAACGAACGTAGTCTCACGCGCAGTACTAACGATCGACTAATGCGCCCGTGCGCCCGCGCCTTCTATCTACCTGCCTAAATACGGGCGGGAGAGGGGATGGCATCCTGCATTCAACTCTGTACTTGATTCAGTGACTCGATTTCCCTTTTTGGTTATGTAATAATAAATAATGGCAATAACGGTTCCTGCAAAAATGGTTCTGGTATTTTCTGGAAAAACTAAAAACGGACAACAAATATCAGAATGCCGCCATAGTAACTAATATTCTACATGAAAAGAGGTATTCAATGATATATCACTCATCGCTATTGATACCAAACACCAATTGGATACCAAAATGCCCGTCCTCCTTTGCAGTAGTATTGAGAAGAACCAAAATAATTGTCTGGGATGAGAGGCTCATAAAAGAGGTAGCTTTGAAGCTTTAAAGGTAGCTTTGAGGTAGCTTTGAATAGGACTCTGCAAGACCAAGACATACGCAGCAAAATAAGTTCAATGGGTGGTTTGACTGCATTGTTGGTCTTTCGTCAAACTCTACCAGTAGTTCCAAGGGGAATATGAGCCGATGAGATAAAAGCGTTATGATCATTGTGGCCCTCAGTTAAATTTTTAAAATTAACAAAAAATATGAGATTCCTTCTTGGAGTTAATGTTTCCGCTAGTCAATTTTCGGATCTTTAGCTAAAACTGGGTAACGGTGATTACTTGAAATGTGGCATGTTATCTGTCTCTTCCGATCTGTACACTTCAGTAACAACAGTTTAAAACCTGATTTCAAAAATTTCACCAGACGTTGCGCTCATTTTGGAAAAAGCAATACAGTGGTTATGCGAAAGAGCTACACTAACCCCAAATATAACGAACTAGCAGCGGTCATTAATGACATATTACTGAACTCCTTTGAAATACAACAGATTGTTTATAACTCAGTAAATACTGTGGTAAACACATATGATGCCGTTAATTATCCAGTACAGTACCCTTACCACGAGCCAATAGCGAATTCGAATAGTTTGCGAGTACGAAATATCATTATCAAATCTTTATGGAAACTTGAACAGCAGTGCTACAACGGATGTAACGAGAACTTAAAATCAGTACACATGTGATGTACAAAATAGATCGAATTTAACTATTCAAATTCGATAATGGTTTGTGTTAAGGGTACTGTTCTTAAACACTGAACGCACTGGGTCTGTCATATCACAGACTTTTACTGCGGGTACACCTGATACGTTATTAAGAAATTTAAAGCCACCCAAACTTTGCAAAGGCACTAAGTTGCAAGCAAGTCAAAGCTTTACACCGGAACCTAGTAGAAGCCACAATTCTGACCGGACCTGCTCAGGGAGGAACAGTGTTTTGTACCACGTATTCCATTTATACCCAAATAATCTCCACTTTGAATTCAAAACGCTCCAGTTTCCCCTGGAGCTCTGTTTCGCCATGACCGCCATGACCATATATAAGTCGCAGGGGCAAACTCTTTAATTCGCCGGAGTACACCTACTACAGGACTGCTTCTCCCACGGTTAGTCCTATGTGGCATGCTCCCGTGTAAAGTTGTTGAACATTTCATCTGTTTAATTATCACCTTCTAACTTCTGCTTATTATTTAGGTATCTGACTTGCAATGACAAATTCACAACAAGGTTTAATTTTAGGTACATAGGAACATGATATGCGTATCAAAAAGTGGTAAAAGTTTGTTATATGGAATACTAGTTGTCTTATATTCAAAGTGTTTAAGAATTCTACTGAATGATTTACCTACTGCATCGTCAGTGTTTACCACAGTTTTTCTGTCTTTCAGAGGACTTCAACATTTATATCCCGCTAATTGGTTGTTATCAAACCTTTTACTGTTACTGTGCACTAGCACAGATACTTTTACTAAGGGCCATTTAAGTCATACTTTATCTCATCGGTACTCTCCCCTTGGGCGTAACGAAAAAGTATGTTGTAAGTTTTCAACTCACGGCAGTCGTGGGCAAACGCTATGTTATTATAACTGTACTATTCAAAAGTTGTCGTATACGTTTAGTAGTTCAAAAACTGTTAGAAGTTACGACACAGGCCTTCCTTATGAGAAAAGAAAGGGATATTGGACCCACCCATGACCTGCTACGTGAGCCCAGCACGGATTGGTGAGTATTAACGACTGCAGATACAGCCGGGAACAACAATTTAATTGCCTTCCGAAGAACGAAGTAGCTCGAGATAATATTTTTAGTAGGTAAATGATAGGTACTCCGTGGTATCTCTTTTAAATTTTAGTTCTGACCTTCATGATATGCTGAAAAATGCGGAAGAAGAACGGACCAAACGTGAATGCACTGGCCGCGGACAACTGGATAGAGAATGGCAAAGAACAGTGAAAGCTGGAGAAATCTCTTTACGCAAAGTCCCGCATTATGGTAAGAAGCATCTCAAAATGCCTATTTGATTATCTGGTAACATGAACTACTCGTATCTACTCATACAATAACCGTTACTAAGCGCTCCGTATTGGCTCCGTAGCATAATGCGATTTTGTGGATGCCGGTGTGCACTGCGCAATATCTCACATGAACCAGTAATTATTGAATAAGGAGTTTGTTTCCGAGGGATACGTTCATGGCGAAATTAAACCTGATCGTAGTAAATATTTGTAAGAAAATAAACTTATGCTGGTTCAAGAATCAAAATTAACTGATATTTAGGATGAAATATCATGCTTTCACAAGAAGACGAATCCCCCATTATTGAAGTGAAACTTCTTTGCGCACGCTTGACTTGGGGGGTAAGCTGGCGAATGCGTTACGCGTCACGAAAAGTGCGTTCGGGCGAGACGAACGGGAGTTGAGTGGGGGATATAAGCAAGAGAAAGCAGTGCGTGCGCACATTTTCTTTCTCTCTTTCTCTTATAGCTAGTAAATGGAATATGTATATTATATGTATGTACATACATGTATATATTGTATACACACATATATATATATATTTACATATATAGTCCAGTCAATGAAGGCTTAACTTTGCCATTTTGAGTTGATCACCTGCAACCAACGCGAAAATTTCCGCAAGGGTTCGTAGATTAATATACTAAAATTGCAGGGTGCTGCATTGACGGCAAAGGGGGAAAAAAATGGTGCAAAAACGAGTTTTTCGTCAATATCTCGCGACTGGCTGGAAAAATAGAAAAAGTTTGTAGCACAAAGTTGTAGAAAATTTAATTTCCTACAAAAAAGGTATCAACTTATTTTCGCGTATCTTCCATAGTTTTTACACAAAATGCAATTAAAGGTGCAAAATAAAAAAAGAAAAAATATTGTTTATGTTTTTTTTTCCATTTTTAAACGATCCTACGGGGCAAATTCAACAATCACCAATTACTGAAATATTTAAGGATGAGTTTTCGGCAGTCCACTGAAATGAAAATTGTCTACCGAAATGGTAAAAAATTACCACCGAAATGATACAGCCAAGAACATCGCCTTTGTAGTAGAAGGGTTCCCTATTTTGAATTTAAATAAATGTCTTTATTTTTTGTAAATATTTTTGTTCATTATTTTTTAATAAGAATTATTAATGAAGAATTAATTAATTGTTACTCCTATTAAATATTATTACTAATTATAATTATTAATATGTACATTTTCAAAATAACGAACAAAGCGCGTTTAGAAAGCGAGAAGTTTATTATTAGTAAATCGTCCCCTTAGTGCCAAAACCGATTATCTGCACTTTTCCGCTACTTCATTTCATTAAGCCGCATCTACAGGTAAAACCCATTATGCTCTACGACGCATACTTCCTGAAATAGCTAATGAATAAACAAAATAACTGCAAATTATTTCCAAAATTCTTGATTTAAAACCTAATAAATCCATTCAAACCACTTAAATTTGTAAACGTATTAATTGTTGAAACCAAGTTTCGGATTTAAACTCATTTTTCTTCTTCTCTCTAAGCTTCCTGGATACGGTCTGCCTACTCAGTTCTGTGCCTGAGTGGCTGACTTCCTGCATGAGCGTCAACGGACGGCGACGGATGTAGTTCGCAGTTCATGTCAGTGAATGCCGGTGTTTCTCAGGACTCCGTCCTATCCCCTACATTCTTTTTGCTGCATTCAATGATTTAATTCCTCTTGAGAATATTCATTGCTATGCAGACGATAATACAGTGCATGCGGGATATTTTGGATACGCAGCCGTTGGACAGGTAGAAACCAAAGAGAAACGGGAGAATCTTGTCATTGAACTCAATAAAGATTTGGACTGCATTTCGGAATGCGGTACCAAGAACTTGGTTGAGTTGATTGCCAAGAAAGCCCAGGTCTGCGCTTTCACGGTAAAACTAACGGTTTTTCACGCCTGAGCAACTGTGCTTGTTGTACATGACGTAAGTACGGTGATGCTTTGGATAGATTACAGCGGCGCGCGATCCGCATTATTGTCGATAAGGAGGTGACTGAACACCTCGAGCCTCGTCAATTACGCCGTGATGTAGCGTTATTAAGCGCGTTTTATCGACTATACCTTGGCGCATGTTTTGAGGAGTTATTGTCTCTTAACCTACCTTCCCCTTTCCTACAGAAGTCTACACGCGCTGGCTTACGTTGCCACCGACTTACTGTGAACTACTATTCCCACTGTTCCAACGTGAACAAAGAAATTTGGTAACTCATTTCTTTGTCAGACTATCCGTAAATGGATTACTTTGCCCTTTTACGTGTGTGAAGTAGCAATTCTGCAGGCCGGCAAAATGAGGATAGCTGGTGTGGCAAGTAATACTGCTGTACAGGTATCTTCGCATCTAGACTCCTCCGTCATCTAACCTCTGGTGGAGTCATTTCTTGAGCCTATTTATAAAAAAAAATCTATAGCAAAGTAATTTTTTTGATTTTTGCTACAAAGGTGTCATATCTGAGGAGTACCATGGATTATGCAGAACTTTGGCTACAGAAATAAGCCAATCTGATCGTTTGCCTTCAGAAACCATTTTTGATGACTCATCATGTGCAAGCGAGTCAAGTTTTTTATATAGAAATACTATCGGCCGCCAATGACTTCATCCGCTTTAACTTTAATATACATTTTTAAACTAGAAATTTTAGATTGAAATACTACTGGGTCCGAAATATCGAACCTACAGTTTCTCGGTAAACCGACATCACCAACCGAAATTATTTAATATACCTATATTGACTCAAGGATCTCTAAAAACTTATGGATGTATCATATCGGCGATACTTTCATTCCCTGGACTCTTATCGGCATTACAGTCCACCAAATGAAATGAAATGAAATGAAAAATCTTTATTGGCCATGGTATAAGGAACAGGAAAAAAAAATATAAAAAGAAACTTAACCTAAGAACAAAAATTAATCATTACATTTAAAATGGCCAATCAGGACCCTGCCTCAGCTTATGCTGATACAATGAGAAAATATTCTCTCACTGTATCAGCGCTGGTATTCTGGCAGGGCCTGTTTGAGGACGTGTTAGGAGCTATAGTAAACAAAATAACATAAATACTTGGTATCGATTCTGGCGTGACTCTCCGAACCCAAAACCAAATTCAACACCAGTCCCTCCCCTTCATTCTGTATAGAGAATTACAGGAATGCGCCGCTGTCAAACTCAAGACTAGCCCTAGAGAATCACGCCATAATCGACATCATTATAAAAGAATACTTAATAATAAAAATAAAATAAGTACAAAAAAAAAAGAAGGACATTTCGACATTTACATTTTGAAAAATTATAAAATTACATCTTAGGCACACGTCAGACAATTGCACATTAACTGTATATACATACTCGTACATGCACGCACATCCACAGATACGCATATATATTCATACACAGCACGTACACATACATACACACACAGAGATATATATATATATAGAACATAATATTCATAAATAAAAATAAAATAAAAATACATTTACATATATAAAACTAGCTCAATTGTCCCCATATCACTGAAATGGTATGCTTACTATTTGGTGGGAATCCACAATGACGTTGTTGCGCGTGCGTGTGATCCACCTAAGGCGGCCTGGCTCGAAGGGAGCACTGACAAGCGAGATACAACAAAACAATGTTAACGAACCTATTTCACAAAAACTTACTGTCCATGGAAATGATAACTTTTTCCAGGACATAAGTTGTGTGCTTGTTACATGTATAAGAAAGAAGGTAAACAAACAATAGTGGTTTTTGTTGATAGGCTATATTATATATTACTAGCTGACCCAGCGAACTTCGTACCGCCATAAAAAAATAGGGGTTGGTGGTAGAAGGGTGAAAATTTAGGGTTGTATGTATTTTTGAATGATGTATCATAAAAAAATTAAAAAAATATATCTAAAATTGAAAAAAAAAATTTAGGGGTGGATTACCCTCAATATTTAGGGGGATGAAAAATAGATGTTGTCCGATTCTCAGACCTACCCAATATGCACACAAAATTTCATGAGAATCGGAAAAGCCGTTTCGGAGGAGTTTAACCACAAACACCGCGACGCGAGAATTTATATATATTAGATTGATATAAAAGTTAATTTCAATCCAAAAAATAAAAGTAACTACAAGGGTAGTAATTTTACGAGAGGAATTGGGTTTAGAACAGTTCACCGTGATGATAAAATGCCACTTCGTATTTTTTTATTTTATGCATTTAGAGCCCATTACTCAATAATTATTTTTGCCAAGGTTGAGAAGTACCTACTTAACCAAGAAAAAATACAAAATCATAAATCCGCACATTGCACTGCCGCTCTGAGGAATACCGTGTATTTTTTTTTTGCTCGGGGAGTTTACCCCTACATGCTTCATTAGGATTTAATTAATATGTTTCGGGTATTTATTTATTTATTATTTCCTTTTTTCATTTAATAATCTTGACAAAAAAAATATTTAAGTTTTATTATATGATAATGATAATACATATTGCAAATATATGTTTTAAACGTAAATTTTGCGCTGAACACGATGAAAGAAAAAGAAATGGTAAAATTAAATTATCATATAATATATATTTTTTTTTAACTATATTTTTCATCATCTTTCTTAGTAGCCATCATTTTAAACTAAATACGCAGAATAGTTCACCCAGTAATGTTTATTAGTGATTAATTAAACAAAAGAATAACAGTGTTGCCCAGCGCGCGATTCAACAATGAATGAATAAAAGTGAGCAACTCACTCGCTAGCCCACGATCTGTGTACGGAAGAGACGGTTAAACATGGATAACTGGTTATAATTTTTTATTAGTCATTTGACATTGTGGGTTTACCTATAATGCGAAGAGATGGCGCTGCCTTGCAGCTTAAGAATAGCTAGAAAGAATTTCGACGCGGTCCGTGAGGGCCGCGGTAGCATAATTGGTCAGTGCATTCGCCCGGATTGCGAAGGGTGCGGGTT